GCGTCGATGTGCCAAAGAAAGCATTTTTCTGTTCCCCGTTGTAGTTGTAGTTGTAGCACTCTGTATTAATTGCAATAGATTTAATAAAGTAATCAATTTAAAGTCGTCAATTTCTGTCAGTAAAAACTCAATTCTAAATTTCTTGTCGCGAAAATAACCTTTTTGTGTATATATATTTTAGCACCATAAATTATTCATACTCACTCTTTCATATTTGTGGTCTGATTGGTTTTTTCTGTGTTTCCCCAATACTTCCAATCAATTTTGATTTGATTATTCCATTTTTTTTTTTTAACTTTAATTTGAATTGTAAATTTAAGTTTAAAATTTAATTTTTGGAAACCTTTTTTCAAATTGGTGGTATTTAGTCGCCTTTCAATAAATAAATTAATAAATACTTTTTACTGCAAATTTTTGTTAAGGGCGAGTCTAAACGCATTCAATGGCTACATTTAATGAAGTTGAGAGACAAAAAATTTAAAACTGTATTGATTTAAAAACCAGATCAACACTTAAATAATATATTCATATTTATTCAGATGATATTTAAGCAATGCTTAAAGCTCTAATAGGAAATCTCGAAACTGGATTTAATTCACTCAATTTTTGCCCTTTTTATGATTGCAACTGCTAATTCACTCACAGACTAGCGGTTATGTAAGAGACATAATCCACGCTGCAAGTATCACTTTCAGATAGTTCTAATGGCACTTAATCAATTTAACTGCCAGTTAAATACGCACTAGCAAATGCACACAACCACTCGACGACCAGACTTTCGACAGTTGCACGCGTCGTATGCGTAATAATTGAAAGGCCAACAAATTTGTAGCCAATTTGTGGCAATTGACAAGCACTAAATGAGCATGCTGCACGATAGTTACGAGTGGGTGGTTGACGTCTGCACTTTTAATGATATATTAAATGTCACAAAAGGCACAACGAGCAGAAATCGATGTTTATAAAATTGACCCACAGCCACTAAGCGGGCATAAATAATTCATTTAGATAACAGAGGCAGGCTATTGAATTACACAGCTCTGTCTGACTGTCTAGTGTATGTGTGTGTCTATATACGAGTATATATATATATCTATATATATTTATATCTGTATTTATGTATTGCTTTTTATGACACTCCAGGGAAATGACGCCTTATGAGTGTCATTTTAATATAGTACACAACAACTTTGACAATATTGTCTGGCATTTAGTTATTGTGAGAAATCCGAATGGTATTTTTGTGGCGTTTGTCTCTCTATTGATAGACACAAAGTTATTCAAGCTGTTACATCCATATATTATGTATACTATACATGGATATATCTGCAAAGATACACATGCAGTCATATTTAAATGGGTGTGTGCGTGCGTCATAACACACGCAACAAATGTTACACATTTACACTCAGAAAATAGCTAGACTTGAACTTAAAAAAAAAAACATTAATTTGACGCCAAACTTTATTTTTACACTTTTTTTCCAACATTAGAAAGTGATTTTTTATAGAGAAATGGTTGTGATTGCGGCTCCAATGTAGAATTTTCTAAAACTTTGTTAATTCTAAATTTCAGTAGATGTATAATGTTATTTTAATAAAGGGATACACTTTATTTAGTAGAATTTAATTTTCATAAACAGATCAATTCATTGTGTTTTTTTTTTATTAATATAAGATTTATTTCCCAAATATAGATAACAATTTTTCTTATTATTTATTTATTAGATAGATACTTATATACTAACAGAGTAAAATATAATTATCGTAATAATACATAAATTTAGTTATCATTGCCGAGGACTTAATGCTTAATTCTAATTAGTTTAAAAGTAATTGTTAACAGTACTAAATAGATAATTTAATTGCTTCGTTTATATGTCTGCAATTGACATATTCGGAAATTAGCTTAGCTATAATTTGAAGTGTAAATTTTTTCGCAGAGTGTGGCAGAGAAGGCAACAGAACGACAAAAAACGGAAATAAACTGAATGTGGCAGACGTATGTATAAATGTATATTTGAAGCACCACAAACATTTATCAAGTGGTTCGCTCAATTTGGCAAATCTAAGCGTCTATCGAAGCCCATTCATTTGACTCGCTTTCAGCAGTTTGTATTGATTTTGCCAACCTTTTTTTTATGCCCTTGAAGCGGGTATTTTCATTTTGTTTTCAAGTTTGTAATGCATAGAAGGAGAAGTCTTCTACTCCATTTAAGAGCTGATTATTTTATATATAATATATTTTTATCTATTTATTTTTTACTTTTCTTTGCAAGTCCTGCTTAATTTCCATAAGGACCTAAGCGACCCTATTTTAGAGACTAAATTAGCAAATCATCTCAAAGATACTCAAATCGACTGTCTAACCATGAAAGCTTCTTGGCAATTAATTTATTAGATAATAGTAGAAACATTAGACGTCTGAAAAGTGGACCTACCACACAGATTTTAAGTAATTGTGTCAAATTAGCTAACTAATATTTATAAACATTTGCTGATTGTCCTCTGAAATTAATAAAGTTATTTAATTTTCGTATTTTTTGTGTCGCTATTAGCCGACGATAAATAAGCAAATAAAAATATAATAATAATACCCATTTTTTTGCTGAAGACTGTACTTAGGCCGGAGCAGACCAGGTCGGGCCACTTTATCAAATAGTTGCCATATAAACAATCTGTGGAAAGATGTGTTTTACAATGCTAACTTAAATTTAATATTGAGTTAAGAGCCAGACCGTAAACATGTATCAAATGAAAAATATTTGCTTAAAAGCTATATATTTCTTTAAATAATTTCAACTATAAATTAAATGGATTATTTATATAATAATATTTCAGACTTCAAACCGTAAATTTGTTAGTCTATAAGGGTACGTAATCTACTGTGTCCCTATGACAACAATTCGTTTTTTGACGTTGCTGGATTTTTGGGCACGCCCAAGTGGCCCTGGAAAGTATTCTAGTGATTTGCAGAGCAATCATTTTTTTTTTGTTTGTGCTTTGTCCCCAAAGCAAAAGATTCCATTTGAGCCGTTAATTTTAAAGGCGGCGTGGCACGCTCGACTAATTAGCTGCGCTCATCATTGACGTCATTTGCATGCACTAACAACACTCGAATTTCAATCAAAACAATTTACACAACAAGCCGCCCAGCCCACCTCCTGTTTTGGCCAAAGTTTTATCCTTTTGTTAGCCCAGTTCTTATGGCGTTTTGTTGCCGTTTTCTGTGTTTGCTTTGGGATCTGAGGGGGGCAGGAGCCAGGTGGGCAGAGGGGCAGGGTGGCTGGAGTCAGGCTCACCTGGCCGAACATTTTATTTAAGTTTTCGCATTGTTTAGACTTATGTACATTTGCCTTGAGTGAGATGCCGGAGTAGGGTTTCTTTTTTATTTTTATTCTCGTTCTTTGTGGGAATGGGCAGAGGTTTGTTTACTTACCCACAATTGTCGTTGTTGTTGCTGCTTTTATTGTTTTCACCCTCAACTTTTGTGCTCGCTGCTCTGTTTGCTTTCACATTGTAAAAGTTGGGTTTTTTCTTTTTGGTTTGGTTCCCTCGGACTTTTTAACTTTCCAAGTGCGGTTTTTCTGCCTTTCAGTTTAAACATTGCCATTGCCTAGGTGAGAATGAGCCTCAAAAGTTTTGCGCTCACTTTCCACATACATATATATGTATAAGTATATCTATCTCTATATTGTTCATGTAAATATTACGCCAGAGTCAACAAAAGGTCGATAACCATTTGACAAAGTCGCGGTGTTCTTGACTTGCCAGCATTAAATACAATGTCAAAAGTTTTCTATTATAGTTCGCCAGTACTTGGCAAGTGCCATTAAAATGTCGCTGATTCATTTGATTCTTTTAGAGACTCCCTTTCTCTCGCACACACTCACTCTCTCTCTCTCCCTCTCTCTCTCTCTCTCTCTCTCTCTCTCTCTCTTTCTCTCTCCCTACAACAATGCAGGCGTTGACTTTTATCAGTGCACGCTCAATTAAAAGTTGGCATTTTACAAATTGTTGGTCCTTAAGTTCTATCTATATTAGACTAGCTGATTGCTTTCACATTTTCATTACGTGCACTGAGAATAAAAATAACCCAGAAATTTGGAAAATTACCTTATAGATTAGTGAAAATTAAATAGTTTTTTTTTTCTTGGTTTCAGAAATGTTTTCAATTCTTTAAAAGTAAAGTTTCATGTTTCAATAAAAATAACTAAATATAGGAAAAAATTCCTTAAAATTAAAAAGGTTTTATTCTACTTTTAGGAAATACTTAAAATTCTAAAAAAACATGTTTCGGAAAATGTAAATTAAATTTAAAAAAAAAAATCTTTCTTAAATTGGGAAACACGTAATGATCAAGAATTCAAATCGACGTAAGGCGATGAACTTATATTATAAAAGCGTGATTTAAAATATTTGCTTATGTAAATTCTTGAAATACTAATATTTAATAATAATAAACTTTATTAAAAAAAACTGCTTTTAAATTCTAGAAAGAAAAAAAATAGTGTTTTTTACAAATATACTTTCTTAGTAATACGGTGAGCTGCCCGAGTCGCAAAAAAGTATGTCAACTTTATAAATTTAAAATGGTGTTTTTTCTAAGTGCATGCACTTGAATAAAAGTTTTAAATAAACGTACAACTAGCCTAGATAGCCTGAGAAACCAGTTCGCATAGAAGGTGCGGATCAAGATTATATATTCTTTATGGGATCAGCGACATTTGATTCAAAGCGTTACTTCACGACAAAATTACAATATAAAATACGGGTAATGAGATAAATTGAAGTGATATTAATATTAATATATATAAGTATTCATTTTCTCATTATATATATTATGACGAACTCCCAATCAAATGTGGCTTATTGTTGTATTTACAAGCGGATGCTAGAAGCCAACAGATATTGCTTATCTTTATCAATACTGGTTATTGTTTACAGATAAGACTCGAACGGGGACTAACTCAACGCAATTGACGAGCTAACACTCAGTTCGTTTTGTCAACTCAAATTGGACATTTGTTTGGAGCAATCGCGTTAAGTTTCCGAAATGGAACCATTTTTAATCGGTTTCCTAATCGCGATTTCGATATTCTTCGTAACTTCAGTAATTGTGGCAATAAGACGCAAACAACGATCAGCGCAAAATGTTGGCTACGTAATCAGTGAGGGTGGTGAGTGAGAATAATTCTCAAAATAGACTTTTATCGATGGCTATCATCTCTACAAGTACACTTCGGTTCTATTGCACTGTCTTGAATTTAATTTGGATTTCTTTGTTTGCTCTACAGCACCAGGTAGGTATCCCGCTCAGCAGTACCCGCCTCCAGCATATCAGCATAGTGTGCAACCAGTAGCCTATGTTTATCCAGGCCAGAACTACAGGTTTGCATTAATATTTAGTATAAAAATATATATTATTATTTTTGTATTTAATATTCGTATTATTTTTTATAGCCACGTTGGAGTGCAGTTGCCCATGCAAATGTCGGGAATGCAAGGTCCAGCGCCAGGGTAGGTTTAATTCAAATTGAAGTTCACTCAAATAACTGATAACACATTTATTTTTCCACATATAAAATGTCTGGCAATAGCATGCAACCTTATCCAGCTATGCAACACCGTGATTTGAACCCGCCTGGAACGACGCCTGCGCCGGAACCCACAGTTCTCCAAGCAAGTGTCGAGAAACCCGTCAGCCAGCAAACCCACCAAGGAGCCGTTGAATCAGTTAGTCAAATCTAAGGAGCATTTTGACCATTTTCATATTTATTATTAATTTAGGCAAACTGAGTTATGTTACTTTACAAATCTACATTAATAACGAATTAATGAATTTAAATTTATGAATAATTTGATTGAGAAAGAGTTCCAACATATGGTCACGTTTACATTTAGTTAAGCTGTCTGAATTGTGTTAGTTTGCATATATAAACATAACAACAAAAATAAAGAGTTCAAATTTGTAATCAATTTAACTGAGATAAGATCGCAACAGATGGTCACACTTATCTATGCTATCGATAGTCTGCTGAATCCATACTAACGCCGCAGAGTTGCCAAGTCAACTACCTACATTAAATTACCATTGTGCCAAGTACAACTATGGTTTTTAAATAAAATACTTAAAACTTAATAAAATACTTAACGCGCGTTTCTCTAAAAACTAAAGTCAGCTGGCATAATATATTCATATTTTTGAATAATTTATGCAACTCGCAATCGATAAATGCGATCTGGCAACGCTGCTGCACGGGTATTGGTCGTGCCACTTCCCGATTGTAACTTGTAGTTTTCCACAAGGGAAAACAACGTATTGTTTGTCAAAATAATTAACAATTGCAAGCGCAGTGCCGTTTCAATTTTACCACAAAAACACCGCTGAAAATGTTGGTCAACGAAGCTAGACAAATCCTGAGCCGTGCCAGCTCCTTGGCGGCACGTCACCAGGTGAGGAGATCCTTTCCGCAGGGGGGATTATTAAACACTAATATTATATAAGAATAACGAAAACATAATTAAACCCACTAAAATCGTCATAAAAACTGGTATTACAATTATCGCAATTGGCGGCGATTATGTAAACATTTTCGCATCGAACAGTAAATTAGAATGGCGTGACTAAAAAACAAAATGCGAACAAAACGTTGAAATAATTTGGATATTTTTATTTTGGTTTTTTTCCAGCTGCGTGCGATTAGCAACAGCAGCCAGTTGGAGCAGCAGGCGCAGCCGAAGGAGTCGCAGGCGCCGCAAATCAAGAAGTTCGAGATCTACCGCTGGAATCCGGACAATGCCGGCGAGAAGCCCTACATGCAGACCTACGAGATCAACATGCGCGAATGCGGCCCAATGGTTCTGGATGCCCTCATCAAGATCAAGAACGAGATGGATCCGACGCTGACGTTTAGGCGCTCGTGTCGCGAGGGCATCTGCGGTTCATGTGCCATGAACATTGGCGGCACCAACACCCTGGCCTGCATCAGCAAGATTGATGCGACCAGCTCGAAGCCGTTGAAGGTGTATCCTCTGCCCCATATGTATGTGGTGCGGGATCTGGTCCCGGACATGAACAACTTCTACGAGCAGTACAAGAATATCCAGCCCTGGCTTCAGCGCAAGTGAGTAATGCGTAGTTGACCGACTAGTTAATACCCTGTGCCCATCTAAATAGCGTAGATTAGAACTGGAATTTGGGGATATCTCAGATAAGATCTGATAAGATAACATTTTAGACACTGACAATAAAAATCGATCTATATTAAGAAAATTGCACCAATCTGAAAGCGACAAACAAATTTCTTAAAATGTTCGACTTTTTAGATATGCTTCTTTTTTTGTTGATGTTGTTTATTTATTTCTAAAATTTATAAATCTAAGTGCACATTCGAAAAATTATGCTAATATTTTATTCGTTAATTTCCTTCAATTTTCAAATGAACATGAACATGAAATTTATTTGTAAAAATATTTTTATATATACATAGCAATCTCTGACTTAAGGCTGAATATTTAATAATCAATTTTCATTCAAAGTGTGAGGCAAAGAGAGAAAGGCAATTCTGGTTCTTTGGGTACAGGGTATTTCCTAGTCAAGTATTATTATTTGAGGTGCATATTATGTAATTGATGTGTTTGATCGGCTTAGAAACGAAGCTGGCGAGAAGAAGGGCAAGGCCCAGTATCTGCAGTCTGTCGAGGATCGCTCTAAGCTGGATGGCCTCTACGAGTGTATTCTGTGCGCCTGCTGCTCGACATCGTGTCCATCGTACTGGTGGAATGCGGAGAAGTATCTGGGTCCGGCTGTGCTGATGCAGGCTTATCGCTGGATCATCGATTCGCGTGACGAGATGACCGTGGAGCGTTTGAGCAAACTGAAGGATCCGTTCAGCGTCTATCGCTGCCACACCATCATGAACTGCACGCGCACCTGTCCCAAGGGCCTCAATCCGGGTCGTGCCATTGCCGAGATCAAGAAATTACTCTCCGGCCTGGCTTCGAAGCCGGCACCCAAACTGGAGACGGCTGCGCTGCACAAGTAGGGAAATTGTTAATCCTCCCTTAGCTGCTTTGTTTGTGAATCCGCTCCCTTAATCGACTGATCGATCCGATCGGTCAGCTATGTAACAACTATTTACTTATTTTGCTTAATATGTTTATAATTTATTTAAGATTAAAGTAAACGAAACTTGTTAATACAGTTTGTAAAGGGAACTCTATAAACGCAACCTTAATGAATATTTAACTAAATGGTGTATGGAACTGTGGGCGACGTCTCCTCATTCATCTGTACATCGTCGGCCGAGTAAAAGTCCTGGGTAACTGGAATAACGCGATCGTTAGTCTCGTCATCCTCCTCATCGTGGCTATCGGTGTCCTCGCTGTCGTCGTTGGCTTTTTGGGAAATTAAAAATATAGAATTGGTTTTTAGTTTAAGTTATTACTTATCAATTACCGTCCTCGTCATCCGTCTCAACGCCGGTTATTGTGTGCACCTTGCCCAGCGGCTGCAAGTCCGTTGCGGCTGTTTTCAACGACTCTCGCTGAAATGATTTGCAAGAACGGATTGTCTTTTTTAATGAAGAATTGGATTTTTTATGTACATTAAACACACCCAATTCCTGCGCTCGTCCTCGTATCGCCTCGTTTGCATCTCTTCGTCGGAGGTCACATCGAACCAATACCGATTGGCCACCGAAGGCTTGAGATTGGGAAAGAATGGAATCATGGACATATTTGTGATTTTCAATTACTTTTGTGAAAAGCGATTTGGCGTTGTTTAGTTAGTTAGTCTTTGCGACAGTCTGGCAACGTGTTTAACATATGGGTGCATATATCGATTAATTTGCCATAGTATCGGCATACAGTTATCGAAACATATGTATTTTGTTGTCGCACTGAAAGTCGAAGTCAGAACACATAAAATATGATTGAAATAACCTGCAACGATCGTCTGGGCAAAAAGGTAATATATTTGTGCTTACGCTAAACTAATTAATTAATAACGGTTACCACTCGCCATGCAGGTGCGTGTTAAATGCAATCCCGACGACACAGTTGGCGACCTCAAAAAACTGATTGCGGCGCAGACGGGCACAAAACACGAGAAGATTGTTCTGAAAAAATGGTACACAATTTACAAGGATCCAATTCGCCTATCTGATTGTAAGTAGATATTTTTATATGCATATATTCTTGTTATTGGCATTAAGAACATATTGCATTTGCAGATGAAATCCATGACGGAATGAACTTGGAGCTGTATTACCAATAATGCGATGAGCCAAATGAAATCATAAATAAATCTTTTTTACTGTCCACTATTAATATATTAAATAAATACGTACGCGTAAACAACTACAAATTTCAAATTAATAAGGATTATACTTGATGCTTCATTCACCTAAAATACACTGTACAAAATTCTTTCATAAAATTCGTAAGGATTCGCGCCTTTTTCTTTGCAAAATATTTCAAACTTTCCAGTCAAATGTGTCCTTTTGTAATTTGAATTATATATACATGTATGTATATCTATCCATTTCTTTTCAATGAATTCACGTACATATCTTATTAATTCAGTAAGTTATAATAATTATAATTATAATAAATATAATAATGGAAAAACCATTTGAGTAATGCCGTGAAATTTTCCCTATGGTCACAAAGATTTATTTTATTTAATATATCCTTTTAATATATTTATTTGGCCCTCTTTATTCAATTCATCGATAAGTGACAACACTCAGCATAATCATCGCTGTTAAACCATTTGCGCTTTATCCGAAACTATCGGGCTCAATTCTCGAATTTCGACTCATTCGAAATAGATTGTCGCTGGATTTGGACGTGTTTTTTCGTGGTGCGCAAAGTCTATTTATAAAACGTCGCGTCCGCCAACCAAAAACAAATTGTGCAAAAGCCCGTTTGGAAGAAAACTGTATTTCTGTGGTTAACAACGTGAATGTGAAAAAAATGTAAGCCATTTCCCACATTTTAATTCTAAAGCCTATGTGTGTGTGCGTGTTGTGTGTGTGTTCGACGCCGTCGATTGATGACGCAGATGCCTGATCGGAAAACTTGTTTTGAATTTTCACACATTTTCAACCCGCAATTAAAGAAAATTTATACATATACGTCGAGTCGCGTCGCTTTTTATTGATTAACATTGAACGTGTTTGGGTTTGTTTATGGCGTTGCCACCCACCCCGCTTGGCTTATTTACTCTCTGTTTCCGTCTCGTTCTCCCTCTTTTGCTTCATTTATGTTAACACAGAGTGTTGTTGGCTTTTTGTATTTTTTATTGCTTCGCATTTGCCGACTTTTTCGCACCGGCAAAAAAAAAAAAAAAAACGCGCTGCTTGCTTGCAGCTGCAGCTGCTTGTTTTTATTTATTTTTAGCATCACATTGCAGTCTAATTAAAACTCGAGCAATTGCGCTCATTTCCACACGCATTGCATAATTTCTAATGTTAATGATTTTAAGGGGCGCACTCAAGCATAAAAAAGCATTAGAGATATGATAAACTTTACACAGGCACTTAGAAACGCACACGCACACACACTTACTTATATATTCGAAATCTCATTCGAAGTGAATTTACCGTTTGTGCACATATTGTAAACAACCCACGCCCGTTAAACACACACACGCATAGAAATCTTGTTAATTGTTTATTTTTTGTGGGTTGTTTGCAGCTGCGATGAGCGACGAACTTTACCAGATCGAAACGCGCCGACGTTCGCGCTCCAAGACGCCATTCCTCCGCTCCAGCTGCGATCATGAGAATTGCGAGCATGCGGGGGAAGAGGGGCATGTTCACCATAAGAAGAAGAAATCCTCAATGGCGCCAAATGTGCAGTGAGTATTTACATATATACATATACACATGCATATATACATACATACACACTTATATACAAAAACATACATAAATCGAGCATAAGCATCTAAAAATAGAAACCAATTAAATCACGTTGCTTTATCATTCGGAGAGAACAAATAAATAACTGTTACTTTCGCAATATACAAAAACAAACGCTGTTCAAGCGTCATAAAAATAAAGCACACAACACAAGTACATGGCAAGCTCCGTGTATCTATGTGTGTGTGTGTGTGTGTGTGTGGCCATGACGTCATGTGTTTGTTATTTCACACGACGCTACAGTTTAATTTCGAAACGAGCAAATGAGCAACTGAAATATATTTTCAAGTCAGTGATGAGCGAGCTTGTCACTGTGACTGTTCGTGAATCACGGCACAGTCAAAAGGTGACAAGACAACTAACAAACCATTAATAAATTTGAAATAAATAACAAATGTGCATTCAAATTAGCACACATAGGGTTAACTTATTGAAATTGTTAATAAATTGAAATGTGTATAAGATTCAGTTTGAAATTCAGTTAAGCAGTGACTCATATCTAGCAAATACAATTCACAGAACAAAAGAATGCTCGCTCAGCACTGATGCAAATGTGTTTGAATTCAAACATACATACAGGGTGCTTTATCGTCTGCCGCTTGTTGTTGTTGAGTTTAGTTCCAATGTGTTTTGGCGCGCAAATTGAAATTCAAACGTCAGCTTTGTGGTTTGCTTTTTTTTTATCTACTCGTTTGCGACATTCGATGACGACATCATGCGCGTGGAAGGAGGCGGGGGTAACATGACCATGAGAGATTCGTATTTATTTATCGCTGTCATTGCTTAAAGCCGTTGGCTGGTTGGCTGGTTGGCTGGGCTAGTTTGAAGGTCAGCCGAGTTTCTGTTTGTAAAACATTTTACGAGCCTATTTTTTTTGTAGTTTGTTTTGATTCACATGTCGTGCGTTAATTATGCTTTGTTTGATTTCCGCCAACTTCGCTAACCTGTTTACATATTTGCAGAACCATTGTGGAGGAGCACGTGGTGGAGACCCGTACGACAACCACCACAGGAGGCAGCACCAGCGGCAACAGCAGCGGCAACAGTAGCATCAACAGTCGCAATAGCAACAACAAAGCCACGCGCTCAAAAGCATTTACCCATCTAACCTCTGACTATTCAAGCGATGAAACATCGCCGGATTACAGACGCAAACAGATGTCCGGCAGTGCAGCAGCAGGCAGCACGGCAACATCTACGTCCACGGTGACCAGCATGTTCACCAGCACCAGCAAGCGATTGGGCAATGCTTTAAACAGCATCACTGCTGTCACTTCCACGCCACGCAGCCAACTGGAGACTAAACAAAATGTGCTCAACTCAACGCACGAGTTGCAACAACAGCAGAAGCAGCATCAGCAGCAGCAACATCAGCAGCGTAGCCGACGCTCTAATGGTAATTCGCCGGCTAATTTAAGCGGCGATCATCTGGCCTACATTGAATACAGAGATGCGGGCGAGTACTGGAAGTGAGTAGCTAAAGTAAAGTAAAGGTTCAAATTGCACTTGACTTGATTGATTGATCCTCAAAATTAATCACAATTGAAATGTATATAGAAAAGAAATACTTTAATCTAAAATATCTAAAGATATTAATATTTGTCTATAAAAATAGTTAAAGTAATCAGCATTGATATGCATATAAAAACAAATTTGAATTTAGAATTTTCAAAAAACTATTTTAAAGATATTAATCAATTTCGCATATTCTAAAATTTAATTTGTTACAACTATTAGCCTCTGAATATAGTTTGTTTAGAGATTGGAATAATATTTGCGAGCTGAGCAATTCTAATTTTCAAGCAACGATAAACATGCAAAATTCTGCGATAGCAGTCAAGTGAGAGTCTTCAGCTGCTTAACGTTTAAAAAGTTGACAGTTCAAGTGCAATTTTAGCTTAATATATTTTTAGATAACTAATCTTTTTATGTTTCGCAGCAAAACACCGAAAACGGATTATACGTACTCGGAGCTGTCGCCGCATCGGCGCCAGTTGGCGCCAGGGATTGTGGCGATGCCGAATATGTCGCGTCGCAGCCTGGCGCATCATGATGAACGTGTCGATTACATGGTGCGTCAGAATCCCGCCCAGGAGGAGTTTATCCGTCGTCGCTATCAGACGCAGACAACCACATCACGCCTCAACTACGACTCCGGCGATGAGGTGGACCAAATGCACTATTTTGACCAACAGCAGCAGCAGCAGCAGAGATGGTGGCTCGCCCGCTTCATCAGCATCATTGTCAGCGGCATGAGCAACATGTGGACACGAATCACAACAATCGGAAATGCATCGGCATCTTCGGAGTCAGCAGCATATCACAACTATTACGCCAGCAGAAGGCAACAGCAGACGCAGCATGGATTCATCGCTGGCAGCCTGTTGAGCCTGATGCGCTATGTTTACCTTGGAATTGCATCGGTACTTAGCCTGGACACATGGCTGCTCCGATCCAACAGCACTGAGAATAAGTCCAAGAAGCGCTTCTTGCTCTTTCTACTCATTCTGCTGCCCCTGCTGCTATTAACGGGTGAGTGATATTTTACATAGATCAAAGTACATACAGCCATGGACATGTAAATAGCACAGATAAAATTAACATTCTTAATTAATAAGGGAACGCAACTTTTTAGATTGATTTTTGTTATTGAACTTGTACATAATATTAAAAAAAAAAACAATAAATTAATTAAAATAGGTTGGTCATATAAATAGCACAGTAAATAAGAATGTAATGTTGATAATTTGGATTTTTATAGATAGTTTTGTATTTGATACTATTTTCTGCATTTTCAATAACTGTTTTTTCACGATCTTTTGACATTTTTAAGGAATTTCAATCTGTTTGAGCCGCCAGCCACAAAACATATAGATTTAACGAACTTAACATCATTCAAAAGATTTTCGATTAAAGGGATGGGATTTTTAAGACGGCCAGTCCAAAATGCGGATTTATCTCGAATAGATTTAATCTCGAGATTTGTTTTGTTGGTTACATTAAAGCCATTTGCATTATTTATATCGACATCCTTACTTTTTTGCACTATAGAGGGGAATTTGGTTTAGAGTCTTGTTTTTAATTAAATACAAAATATACTTGTTTTTATTTATGCAAATACATTGCATGCAATTAGCATTGAGACATTTTTTCTATTAGAGTAATTAATATTTTGAATGCTTGCAATGATTTTCTTCACTCAGTTGAACACAAACTACATCAGACTTACCCAAAATCAACCCATAAACTGTGATTTTTTTATATAAGATTTGATTTTAAAAACTTTTGCTATTTATGTAACCAAATTCAGATCTTATAGAATTCTAGAAAACGCAGTAAAAAGTCAAGTATTGTAAAAATATATGCAAAAAGTGTATTTTCTATTTGGTCCTATTTATGTGTCCATAGCTGTATATGTAAAATTGAATTTATAAACGTCGGCGCCCTGACATTGAACGGCTGCCAAAGGCTAACTGACCTTGGATCATGTCTACAACTAATGCCACATTCATAGTTCACCTTGTGCTCGGTGTTTACAGAAGAAACTGGTCATTGACAGCGCATGACGTCAGCAACCAAGTGTGGTTGCTGTTGTTGTTGCTGTTGCTGGCTCTGTTTCTGATGTTCTTGTCACCATTGATATGAAAAATGTGTGCATAATTTGTACGAATTGCTCATAACACAGACACGTTTATAAGATTCACTTTTCGCTGGAATGACACTAGCTAGTTCTTAAAGAGTTTATCAGTTGGAAATGATGTAAAATATAATTTAATTTTTAATGCGAACGTGCCAAAACGTTAACGTTTTCCATTCTTAAATTGAACGCTTTTAAAAGAAAATATTAATTCTCATATGAAAATGCAGCAGATAATTTTTGTATCTGTTCTTCTGCTGTATCTGTAACGTAGTTTTTAATAATTATTGTGGAACGTATAAAAATTTTAAGCAAAAAAATTAGCCGTTTTTTTCTTGCATTAAATAATTTTAATTATGAATTCAATTAAAATTCACATAGCAAAACAAAATTGTAATTTAGCGCACTTAATAAGGAATACGAAAACGTTTTACTTAAATTGGAGCACGCCTGATAAGCATATTTTAATTACATAAATTTCCAAAGAATAAAGATAATATTGTCCGACTATGATAAGAGAATGATTAAAGTGTCATGCCAACATAAAAACAATTTAAGCATAATAATAAACTCGTCGAGTATTGCGACTTGGCTAATTGCGACTTTCGACTTTACAGGTGTGTTCTATTATCTGCATCCGAATGAAAGTTTCCCGCCCAAATCCCTAACGCTTAACACATTCACACTACCCGAATTGCCCAAAATCGATGTTGGCGCCTTTTTGAAAGCCGAGCAATATGAGTCGATGCGCACGCAGGCCGTTGAGCAGGCGGTGCGCGTGCGTGACTGGGCCGATGATTATCTGTTGTATTTGAAAACAATCGGCCAGAATGTGGCCAACAAAGGCCGTCAATTGTTTCAAAAGTCCGACAACGAGCCGGTCTATTACGAGCGTGTTTAATGCATACTTGCAGCAATTCTGCTATCGTTTTGGCTTCGAGCTGCTGCAACAGTTGCTCATTTAAAGTTTTCTTCTTTTGTTTAACGTTTGTTAATCCTCTATTTTAAAGGCCAAGATCAATTCAAGTACAAATTCAAGCATTTTTTTAGTTTTTCCTTAAGAAATTTCTGTCATTTCATGTTACATATATTATATGTATGTATGATCATCTATTGTATGCCATATATTTTTTCGTTGTTTAAATTGACCAACCCACCTGGCACCTGCCACACACACATCACACACACCCACACACATCACACCCCACTTCCCCCAATCCCCCCTCACCCACTTAATGACGCAACATGGAGAAGGATAGAAAGAGAGAGAGAGAGAGAAGCACCGCTATTCAAATGTGCAGAAATTAATCACAAAAACAAATTCAATTAATTTTAAATCATTTTTCTATTTGTCAAAAACAATTGTTGCATCCATTTGTGTTTTTTGGGTCGCCTTTTAACACTCTATTCTAATTTCTGTTTGTGTTATTATTATTTTCGAATAATAATCACATGACTCAAGTTGAAGCCGTTAAAACGCAGCCCAGAATTCGTTGGGTGCAACGATTAAGCATCATTTTTGTTGTCAAACAACGTTCAGTTTGTAATCTTTGATTGTTTGCTTTCGTAATTGTTCATAAACTCCTCTCGATATACATCATAATAAAAAGAGAAAAAAATGCAAACATTCTCAAATATGTTTCAAAATGAAAATAGTTGTTTTATTTGCCATTTTATTGAACTAAAAAATCGCCGCGATTGCGAGTTGAAAAATGGTAAGTAAAATACACCAAATACATCAAGAACAATAACAAAGAATAGATCAACATTAGTTGGCCATAGAACAGAACAATCCTTCTATCCTTCTGCATTTGTTGTGCTCATCTTGTTTGCTACTGGCGTCAAATAATCCTTTTTCCAAAAAAAAGAAATAAATAAATAAAAAATAAACAGTTGCCTAACTTTGTCCCTAGTTCAAAAGTTGCAAATGTGGAAGGATGGATTCGGATTATTCTGTGCAACTGTTGCCAACTAATGTTGTTCTATTTTTTACAGCCTGGCTGCAGCTGCCCGAGGAGCGTCGCTTGGAGCATTTGCAGCGCACTGAGGCGCTGCTGCCACTGAGTCTGCTTGCCACACTGCGTGGCCACTGGTCACACGCTGGCGCTGCTGTCAAATCGTTGTGGCAGCCACAGGATGAGGCTGCGGCCATTAAGCTGCAAATGGAGCAAGTGCAGCAGAACTTGCAACGGACTCTAACGCCGGAGGAGTATGGGAATATACTGAATCATGTCAATAGCTACGTGCAACAGCTGGTCGAACTAAAGTTGCAACAACAACCGCAACAACAACAATTGTCTCCGCAGCAAATACAAATTATTGTCAAGTTGATGCGCGAGAATCTGGAACAATTTGCCGAGCAAAAGACGCAGTTCAGTGAACAGCAGCTGGCCGATTTGGCGTTGCGTTTAAAGTTGCAACTGCAACAGTCGGGCGAGTGGCAAGCAGCGAATCTACGCTTAAGTCCCGAACAGTTGGCGGAGATTACGCGACAAATCAAGGCAGAGTTCAAGCTGGAGGAAACCCATTATACACTGCTGCTGGAGCGCATCGATGTGCCACAATTGCTGCATCGACTGCTGAGCGCACCCGGCCTGGCAACCTTTGTGGATGAGCGCATCCATCTGGCGCTGCTGCAGCAACAGGGACAAACCAGAGTGAGGGAGCAGGCGGAGGAGGGCTCTGGTCAGGCTGCCGTCGATCAGCTGAAAAGGGAGATAGCCTTTATTAAGCTGACGCTGTCGGATAAGCATGCGGAGAATGCGGATCTACAGCAGTCGATAAGCAGTCTGAAGCTCAGTCAGGATGATTTATTGGAGCGCATGCAGCAGCATGAGCTGGCACAGGATCAGCGCTTTAGCGGTTTACTCGCCGAAATCGAGGCCAAGCTGGCATCGCTAAATGATTCACAGTTTGCGTTGCTCAACAAACAGGTGAAACTGACGCTTGTCGAGATTCTGGGTTTCAAGCAGCAGGCGGCCGGTGGCCAGTTGAATGATGTCGATCTGCAGAGCTGGGTGCGCAACATGTTCGTGGCCAAGGAGTATCTGGAGCAGCAGCTGCTCGAGCTGAACAAGCGCACCGACAACAACTTACGCGCGGAGATTGAACGCTCCAGCCTTGTGCTGATGAGCGACATTAGCGAGAGGCTCAAGCGGGAGATACTCCTCACGGTGGAGGCCAAGTACAATGGGAGCAGTCAGGTCGTGAAATCGGAATTGCACGAGGATGAGGTGCGCAGCATTGTGAAGGCCGTCCTGGCCGTTTACGATGCGGATAAAACGGGTCTCGTGGACTTTGCTCTGGAGTCGGCGGGCGGCCAAATACTTTCGACACGCTGCACGGAAAGCTATCAGACCAAGTCGGCGCAAATCTCTGTCTTTGGCATACCGCTCTGGTATCCAACCAATACGCCCCGCGTGGCCATTTCGCCCAACGTTCAGCCCGGCGAGTGTTGGGCCTTTCAGGGCTTTCCCGGTTTTCTGGGTACGTAAATGCCGTCAATGAACTGAATAATTATCTGCAACTTTGTTCAATACACAGTCCTGAAGCTGAACTCCTTGGTCTATGTCACGGGCTTTACGCTGGAGCACATATCGAAGAGTCTGTCGCCAACGGGACGCATTGATTCCGCACCGCGCAACTTTACCGTTTGGGTAAGTTATGGTTAATGGTGAACAGTTTGTAATCGTTACTAATCGTTGCTAATCGCTGTCTGGCAGGGTCTGGAGCACGAGAAAGATCAAGACCCAGTGCTGTTCGGTGAATATGAGTATCAGGATAATAAGGCATCGCTACAATACTTTGCCGTACAAAACGTCGACATCAAGCGTCCATTTGAGATCGTCGAGCTGCGCATCGAGTCGAACCATGGCCAACCGGACTATACGTGTCTATATCGCTTTCGGGTGCACGGCAAGCCGCCAAGCACATAGTGTACTCAGGGATCCAGGACCCAGGTCTAACTACAAGTTCAGTCAACTGTACATAATTTCAGTGCCTTAAAAAGGAAACTCAACAATACTTACAACAACCACAACTACAACAACCATAACAACAAACAACTACTTACAAAATCTAAAATCTAACACTATACAAAACGTTAGGCTATAGTATGTAAGTGTTTTTTGTATGATAATTAAGTTTTGTAAAATTGTAAGCAGATATTTTGTATATACCTTAATAGTTTAGCACTAAGCTAGTTGTGTCCACAGTACAGTTGTCCCATAATATTTATTCTGATTTAGTTGGATTTATGTTGCAAGAGAATCTGTAATGAATACCCAGCAGAATGCAGCACTGAGAAAATCAAGCTAATTTTAAATTGTTTGCCATTTTGAGAACGTTATAAACTTAATAGTCATAGGTGTATAACTAACTTAATTGAGCCATATGCTTGCTATATGTTTACAACACAATTTACTTATTGTGTATTAATCTTTAGTTATTATTAAGTTTATTTTAAGTTTAAGCAGAAGTACGAAATAATTGTAAATGCCATAAAAAAATGGAATTGAAATTTATATCCTAACTTATCCAGCCAGCAATAAACTGAAAATCGTTGAAATGACAATTCATAATTCAATAGCTCATCTGGTTAAAGAATAATTATGTTCTTTCGATAAGACTCAACATATCTCGAACTAAACTTTATTTTAACACAGTTTACATGTATACGTTCAAAATATGCTTAGAAAATGAATCCAAAAATAGTTACTAGCTTAACAAATAATTAATAAAATACATATGCTATATTTTACTTTTGTTGTTACTTTTAAGTACAAGCTTAATGTCCAGTTTGCAGTTTCTTTTCATATGTTTAAACAATATTTAAATAAATGCGTTGCACCCATTATTGAAACTAATTGTAGTTAAAAATCTTGAAAATGTTACATTACTTAAAAAGTGATTAAAATGTATTTTTCAATTAATAGTTTCAACTTGGCTGGCATCATATTGCCATTATTAATTCATTATACGCTCATTAAGAGCTTGCCAGCATTTCAATTATAATTGTGGTGTAATTCAAGACAATGCCCTGACAGGTATTTCAATTCCAATTTCATTTGTTGCACGTGTGCAAATTGTTATCTGACAGCATTCCATTTGGCCAAATTAATGCTGCAATTGCAGACGAGCAGACGACGGCAAATCTTATATTACATATGCAAATATGCATTTAAATATTCGACAAACTCAAAATAACCTCGTGTAAATTGAAACGGAGCTGCCAGAGGAGTTCATATCTGCAAGCGACGCCAGGCATGCACTTAATTAAAAGTCGCTGCTGCTGCCTGTTTCACGGACTGGCAAACTCCCAAAACTTGACTGACTGACTGACTGACTGAGTAACTGTTTGCTACATTCTGAGCCATGGAAACACTTGCAAAATAGATGAAATTGCAGTGTTTAAACTTGTTGAGAGCTATGCAAGGTGGCTGGGAGTCAAAGTGCTGTGGCCTAGAAGCGCGGAGCCGAGGAGCGTGCCCCCGGTTTCCCGCTTGCTATTAGAGATGGACTCGTGTCGCATTTATTTGCAGAAATCACGACACATTATTTGGCACTATTTGAAGCAGAACGAAACAATATATTGGTTTTCTATAAGGTTCTTTAACCTTTGTGTTCTAATTTACTTCTAAATTAATTCTAAATTCAAACAAAACATTACAAACAATTAAAATGAAAGTTTTAGCGAAGAAATCATTCCAAACAATTAAAATACAAATTTTAGGTAGTCGAAAAAATTGTATATTGGGACTTTTTAAAGGTGAGTTTCATACTTCCACTTTCGTTCGTATTTTTTTTGGTATGAATCGTAATTTTAATCAACTGTGTTGAAAAAATTAAATACCTTAAGCAGTCCTTAATTGTACCATTCCGCATCAGCAGGAACAATATTATTGTTTGTATTATTGAAATTGCATATTTTTATTACTCTATTGCTCCTCTTTGCTGCTAGATGGTATTACTATTACGTTAAGTAATTTTTTTATCAACTTGGCACTTTAAATTTTAATTCGATGCCTATAAATCAAATCGTAATTTTAAGTAATTAGTATTATAAATCCTGATTTGTGTAGCAAAATGTGTAAGAAATATACCATTCAATTAAAAACTACATGTTAATCATGGAAAGTAATAGCAAATATTTGTACAATATAAATACTAAACAATACATTGATTTGTAATTGTTAAATTTTACTTGTTTTGTTTTGCTATATACAAAAATTGAAATGGTTTAACCATTTTGGATTGGAAACTCTTACTTTCCGCCAATTCGTGACAAATTGCAATTATTGGAAATTGTAGCTCAAAGTGTGTCTCCTGGTGTGGTAAAGTAGTTTTTGTGACTTTCAAAATGTAATTGGAAAATTTGATATATCAATATATCTGGAATATTGGTAAGCAAAAAGTATAGGAACTGTATAATAAAGTGGCAAATTTTGCTAATATTTTGAATAAATATGATTTGCGTAATAACACGCTCTGTTTTGTTTACTTTGGATATCTTGTTAAAGAAAGGGGATTTTTGTAATAATAATTTATAAACCCTGAAACCATTTAAAATCGGCAAAAAAGGCACGATGGTATTGTGCATAAGTAGAAAGCATCTCCGACCCCCATTAAATGTATATATTCTAGATCAGGATCGACATAGCTATGTCCTTCCACAAGATATGAGAGTACTTCTACGCATGCTTACATTTCAGTGGATATAAAGATGGGTTCTTTGTCGGGCTTGACTACAAAATTCTTACTTATGTCTTATATGGGCGATAAATGTTGGCGTGGCCAGATTGTATTATAGTTAAATTAATTTGCCTAATTATTAAATATTTGCTGTCTCTGAAATGGGTAACTATATTTTTTTTTAATTTATGCCTAACAAAGTTGATTTTATTCAACTACTACTACTATTACTATTACTATTATTTACATCGATATTCTACATTTTGTTTGCATATCGTATTCTATCTTAATTTTCGAGCCGTGAGTATTTTTGTCACGATAAAAAAAGAGGATTCGCTGTCATCTCCAGTCGGCAGTTGAAGACATTGCTGACGTGTTTTGTTCACTGTGTGTGTAATTACTAGATTACAGCCCCGCAGACGTTGCACATTCTTGCTACATGTTTATTGCAGTCAGCCTTAGGGCGGGCGAATGGCCAATATACTTAGTGAAAAGAGGCTAAAAGAAAATTTGAATTTTTTGGCCTACCTTGTTATTGCAGCGTTATTTATTTGGGCCTCATTAGACCTGTGCTGCCACCCGATGCTCATTAGTTTTTTTGTTGTTCTTTTTTTTACCTGGGGGAGGTTGGTAGCACGTTTAATTTGTTTACACAAATCTTGCGCAACGAAAGCCGCATTTGTTTGACTTGCGCTCAAAAGTACACAAATATAACAAAATATAAAATAAAATGAAACAAAATGAAAAAATTGAAATCAACTTTAACTACTCAGGAAGTTTTGCTGTTGTGTGTGTGTGTGTGTGAGTGTGTAACAATTAAACAGCCGCTAAAAATAGTGACTAATGAGAAAAGTTTTAAGCAACAGCATTAAAAAATAAAACTGCCTTTTTAAGTTGGTCCAACTTTTATTTTATTTTCTTCTCCAATTTGTTTTTTTTTTTTTATCTTTTTGCTCTCTGCTGTATTGAATCTGTTGGCCTTTCGGCCCAAGCACACAGCAATTTGCGAAAACAGAAAGTGTGCGAGCCATAAAGCGAGTTGGCCAAAACATTGAAATCATTACATAGTTCATTGCCTCGTCTCTGCACCTCATCCCGGTCCGTCGCCACTTATCTGGGCGTAGAAAATCTCAAAGTTTGACACAACTTCAGCTCAAGTAGCTGATAAGCATTGAAGGCGCTTATAATGCGAAATACTTTGGCCAAGTATTTCCAATAAGAATATGGGGCAAAACATTGTCGACGACCTTTATGCGCATTTGGGGAACTCCAGCTGGAACTTAAGTTCAATTGGGGGATTCAACAGCAGCAACAACGGCACGCGTCTCCGTTTCACTTTGCTTATATTGTCTGCCTTGTGCTGTAAGCAAAACTCTTAGCGAATGTATTCAGTTTACCTATTGATATGCTAAAAATACTACTGTATTGAAAATCGCTCCCCGATTGCACTTTCCTCTTCAGCAGTTAGTTTAAATCAACTTCTTGTAGTCTCTGATATCACAATAATTCTTAGTATTTTATACCTAAATACTTAGAAATTTCTTTGACAAGTCGGTGGCATTTCTGAAACCTATTAAATTCTATATGTATAAAGAAGTTCGCATTTTATTTATTTAGATTTTGGTATAGAGTTTGTATCTGCTGAATTAAGAATTTATGGTTTTGGACCTTTTATAATGTGTTCTTATCTGCCACCTTCTTCAGACAATTCTTTATATAACAGAGCTAAATCTGTACAAAACAATTTCTGCGACATCTTCAGTGGAATACTAATTATAGCTATACAGATAATAACTATAGTTAAGGTATGTATTCTTATCGAAGTAGACTTCAATTAATTCGTGTTCCTTCTGTTTCGTATCACCCTTCTCTTTTCCTGGGTCCCCCCGTTAAGGGGTCCATTCGGTTGTTATTGAAAATCTTTCTTAAAAATAGAAAAAGGCTTTTTATTTTTATGAACTTATTTTTCGATATTTTTAAATTATATTTAGAAACTATTTTCTGGTTTCTCAATGTCGGTTTTTATATTACGTTTTTAAAAAACATTCTAGTTTTCAGAGCATTATAAAGAAAACTGAGTTAGGGTCTTTAATTCCAATCCCACTTGAACTAGGGAATATGAATTTGGTAAAGTTCGCTTTAGATTGCAAAAATGACAAGTGTCGCCTTGTTGTTTCAATTATTTTTAATAGTAATATAATAGTATAGTAATATTAATATGTTAACTATAATTTATGTACAGCCAATAAATGTTTGAATTGGTCCTGCAGTAATATTTGTTTTCTTAAAAAAAAAACAAGTTAAGAGTTTAGTTAAATAAATTACCAACATATTTGATGTGGCAAATTCTTCTGTGGTTAAGCTAATAGATAACAGCAACTTTTGGCTACTTTTCTCTTATTTTTGAGTGGAAATATGATATGGGTTTGTGCTTTGACAGGCAAGTAAACTCAAATTGTGGCACATAGGATGCCGAACACTGAAGTGACATGCAACAAATGAACATTAGATATGCGCATACATTCAGCGGCTGGCAAAACTTTTGCTTGACATTTCTGAATTCAAGTATCTTTCTTTGTGTGTGTGTGTGTGTGTGTGTGTGTGTGAGTTTGTGGTTGAGAGGATGTGTGCGTGTGACGAAAGTCGGCTTAGTTAGAGCCGTTTGTTTGAGTTGCGACTGTAATTAAATTTGCTGTTGCTAACTTTAAAATAATTTTACAGGCCGTTAAGTTGTGTTAGACCGAAAAAAAAAAACTCTAAAATTGATTTTGTGTCATTTTGTCTGACATTTGTGGCTCACATGAGGCGCACTAAGCGTGAAGTGGGCAAATCTGTTTGTGTTGTGTCGCACGTTTTGTCGCAAGACAGTCGCCCATTATATTTGTTAGTCTCCACACCCCTGGGCGCCCCCCTTGGGGGCTGGAGCTTAAAAGCCGTAGTCAAATGCAATAAATGTTGCCCACAGCTGGCTGACAGGATATTTTCATTGGAAATTAAATTGCGCATGAAACTTGTTTACAAATCCAAAGTTAATCCTTGCTGCCAGTCACTTAGTTATTTAGTC